TGTCCAGGTGTCCCTGTGATGGACTGAGACCTGTCCAGGTGTCCCTGTGATGGACTGTAGACCTGTCCAGATGTCCCTGTGATGGACTGGAGACCTGTCCAGGGTGTCCCTGTGATGGACTGTAGACCTGTCCAGATGTCCCTGTGATGGAATGAGACCTGTCCAGGGTGTCCCCCACTTAACAAGTGACAAGCTGCTCCACAACCAAGAAAGGAGAGAATGAAGGGGTGGATGTTAAGTCTATTGTTCAGTCCAGTAACTTCCATTTATAAATTACAGCCTAAGAGTGCATTCACACCAGCCGTGTTTAGTCCGCTTTAATCAAACTCTAGCTCGTTTTTCTAGGAAGTCCGGTTCGTTTGGGGAGGTGTGAATGCGCCATCGAACTCTGTCACGGAACAAAAAAGCGAACTCTGGCCCGGGCTAAAACCTAGGTCTCGGTCCAGTAGAAGAGAACTCCAGCGTGGTTCGAGTACAGTGTGAATGCAAACAGACCGGGCCCCACTCCACAAGCAAGAAGTGGAGCACAGCGCAGAGAAAACAAACACGCATTTCTCTTACCTCATATGGAGTCGTCAGCTGCCTTGTGTGAAAAACAATATTCTCCATGGTCTTCTGCCTCATCTTCCACGCATGTTGAGTCCATTTTTGAAAAATGACAAAATATAACTCCTAAAACTGCTAAAACTTGATGCCACTCCGTTTTTGTTTTATTTCCAGAAGAAGAAGAAGAAGACGTGTCTTCAGAGGTTTTTGTGTCATTTCTTTCAGTAGTTCTTGGTGCAGCGCCACCACAGGCGAGTGGGGGAACAGGTTGGTTCAACAGGTTGGCTCGACTGCACAGTGCAGTGTGAACGCAAACGCACCAGCTCAAATGTAAACAAAAGGTCATGAATATTGGTCCCCAACCGAACCGAGTTTACCGGACTATCAAGTGTGAAAACAACCTAAATCCAGCCTCTGGCATCATTTCACCAGTTAGAGACATGTTTTTATATCAACATGTTTAGACAATGGAAACTTCCACTTTTTATTTCTTTCAACTGCTCCCTTCTTCAGGGGTCTCCACAGCAAACCAACTCTCACAAAGACTTGACAATTGTTTTTATGCCGGATGTCCTTCCTGATGACCACAGAACACCGAGCTACCACAGCCCTCTGTGTGGAGCAGAGACGACCTTCAGGCTGATAAAACCTTTCGTTTTAAAGGGTTTGAGAAACCCGACTGATTGAATGAACAGCAGCAACCAGGCAGCTGCACAAACATTTAGCGCTTGTCAAAAGTGCAGAGTCATGGCCGCAGCAGTGTTAGCATTACATATTCAGGAAACACTGAACCACCTGCTCATCTCCACTCAAATTACTAGAACACCAAGAGCACCTGGAGGTACGGTATATGTAAGACGTGAGCACTGACAGTCCATCACACAGAAAATACCCACAGTCTGCATTTCAAAGTGCTCAGTACTCACAGTAACTGAACTGATTTACTCAAGAGAAAGCTCAAGTATGAAACTCCAACCCTGAGGTGAATCCAGTGTTTGGATCAACGCCAGTTTTGCATCCCACGTTGATGTAAAACCGGCTTGATTGATTTATGGTTCAATTGTTTCTTTATGTGTAGGTGTCATGTTCGTAAAGTTTATAAAGTTGCTGGGAGACTCTTGCAGCACTAATTAAAATGTAATTTCTAAACTCCATACTCTCACTGCGGGCTGACATGTACAGAAGCAGAAGTTGAGGCTACTTTGATGTATTGTAGTAATTAGCTGGTGTTTTTCTTCTGCATGAAGTGAGGTGGTTCCAACAGTGCTCGTATTTCACACGGTATCTGATACACAGCAGCTCTAATGCTACACAGCTCCAGTGGTCTTGGCTCTGAAAATATACGAAGCCTCCTGGCATCACGTGGCTACGGAAGGCATTAGAGGTAAGATCCTAACAGTTTACAGCTTCTCTGAACTTGTGGAGCATGAGATGAAGTTGTTCAAATAGTGGAAATTTATTTCTGTGTTTTGATTTCTAAACCCTAGTGTGGCATTTAAACAACTGTATAAAATGTATGAAGTCTCTGTGTTTTGCTGCCAGCTTACCACTACATCCAGCTTCCCCATCACGTTGTGGGTCTTCACAACCCAGTTGACTGACTTAGCACATTTAAGAAGCAAGGTGACATCCCGAACCACCACGCCATCATTCTTCAGAGGCTTTAGATCCACAATGACATCCACCTGGAAAGCACTGCAAAAATGAAAGAGACCAAAAACAGAGAACATAGTGTTATTAAACCTTGTGTGTCTGGCCAAATAATAAAAAAACTGGAAACATTCCTTGAAAGGAACACAGATATATGCACTACAGATGAGACAGAACCAGAGATAGAGCACAACAACCAAAGCTTTCCCAGATTTGCAGTCTTTTGGGTTCTCAGAGTAATTCTCTGACAAAGAGAACATTATCGTACTTTCCGGTCTATAAGCCATTACTTTTTCACAGGTTTGAACCATGCAGCTTACACAGTGCTGCTGCCAATTTATGGATTTTCTTTTTTTTGTTGTTGTACTAATTTAGAGGGGCGGCTGTGGCTGAGTGGTTAGAGCAGTTGTCCTCCAATGCAAGAGTTGGGGGTTCTAACCCACCAGCAGTCACATGCTGAAGTGTCCATGGGCAAGACACTGAACCCCTCATCGCCTCTGATGTATGGTATGGTATGGTATAAAGTTTATTCATTTTAAAAAAGTACAAAACAATTCCATAACAATATAAAAAAAGATACAAAAGATTTAAAATGAAAGGCAGCAGAAAGAAGAAAAAATCTTATTATATCTGCCCCTTTTTTCAAACAATTATTTCAATCATAATAATTTTCAAGTAACAGAACAAAATGAATAACTCTTTCTAATTTTTCTAAATCTAACACAAAACACACACTAAGCTACTTCATATATACTTTTTTAACAATTCAGTTTTGATCTTTTTCTTAAATGTACACATTGACTTGGCATTTTTAACATCACTCTCTAGACCATTCCACAATCCAACTCCTTGGATTGAGGTAGACCTTCCCTTCAGACTAGTTCTGAATTTTGGTTTGACAAATATTTCTATCCCCTTAAGATTATAACAACTTTGTCTTTTAACAAAATTTCTTTGGATATTTAATGGTAATGTGTTATTTTGAGCCCTATACATAACTGATAAAATACTGTAATCTACCAAATCATGGAACTTCAATAACTTTAGTTGATAAAATATTGTGCTTGATGGGTGACTGTAATGCTTTCGAGTGACAATTCTTATAGCTCTTTTCTGTAAAATAAAAATTGGCTTTGTAAATGTTTTACACGCTTTCCACCAAACATCAATGCAATAGATTAAATGTGGAACAATGATTGTGTTATACAACAAGTACAGAGCTTTATCATTTAATAATTCCCTGACTTTGTATAGTACTGCAATAGATTTAGCTATTTTTGTTCTTACAGAATTGATGTCATTTTTCCATGTTAGCTGTTCATCAATGATTACACCCAAAAATGTCATCTCATTAACTCTACAAATCTCAACACCCTCAATTTTAAATGGATCGTCAACAGTTCTCTTTTTGTTAATAAATGTCATGTATTTAGTTTTATCTAAATTTAATGATAATTTATTAAGTTTAAACCAAGTTTGTATTTTATCAAATTCTGTCTTCATCAATTCCAACATACGTTTTACATCTTTACCCAAACAAAAAAATGTGGTGTCATCTGCAAAAAGGACACATTTGAGGAGTCCTGATACATTCACTAAGTCATTCACATATAAAATAAATAACTTTGTCCAAGTACAAGAGCCTTGAGGAACTCCACAAGTGATACTGCACAGGTCAGATCTCATACCATTTATTTGTACAAACTGTTTCCTATCTTTTAAATAGCTAGATACCCAGTGTAATGCTGGTCCTCTTATACCATATTTATTAAATTTTTCAAGGAGAATAGTGTGGTCAATAGTATCGAATGCTTTTTTTAAATCAACAAAAATACTAATACAATACTGTTTTTGATCGACAGCAGTAGTTATTTGTTCCATTATTTCCATGAGAGCCATTGATGTAGAGTTTTTTTCACTAAACCCATACTGACTGCCACTTAGAATGATTTGTTTAGTAATAAATTTATCTAATCTGTCACAAATAGTTTTTCTAGAATTTTTGAGAACTGTGGTAATAAGGATATTGGTCTATAATTATTGAACATACATTTATCACCATTTTTAAAGAGAGGAACTACCTTAGCTACTTTCATATTGTCTGGAAATATTCCTTTTGAAAATGATAAATTACATATATATGTAAACGGCTCGATAACATAACTCATTATGTCCTTTACAAACATCATATCCATGTCCACCCGGTCTTTTGATCTCTTATCTGTAAGATTTTTTACTACATTCATTATTTCTTCTTTGTCATTTCCATTAAGAAAAATACTGTTGCCACAACTTATAACTGAATGGTTCACATTATTGTCTACTTTTGGTATTTTAGCAGCAAGGCTTGATCCAACGTTCACAAAATGATGATTAAATCCATTTACAATTTCATTTTCATCATGGATTTCATTGTCATCCTTCAAAAAATATTGTGAAATACCTGTTTTTGCTTTATGACTTTTCAGAACACTATTTATTACTTGCCATGTAGTTTTCATATCACCATTACTTTTATTTAATAAATCACTATAATATTCCTTCTTGTGTTTCCTTATAATCGCTACTAATTTATTTTTTATACTTCTTATATTTCTCTTCAGCCTCTTGTGTTCTCAATTTCAAGAAACATGTATACAAATAATTCTTTTTTTTTTTTTACAAGCATTTCTCAACCCTTTCGTCATCCATGGTTGGTCAACAACATTTCTCTTTGTATAATTATTTTGCAGACAATTCTTTTCATACAGAGCTCCTAAAATATTCATAAACTCTTCATATGATCTGTTCACATAATCAACATACACGTCTTTCCAGCTTTGTTTATGTAAATCATCTTTTAATTTGTCCATTGCTTTTTTTGATGTGTTTATTGTTTTTTTTCTTAATTGTGATTTCTTTTGTGATGCTTTGATCATTTTTATAAATCGTGAAAACTGGTAAATGATCACTCAAATCACTCATTAAAATACCTCCCATCACATCCCCATTTTTTACATTTGTGAAAATATTATCGATTATTGTAGCACTATGAGTTGTAATTCTTGTTGGTTTTGATATTAATGGATAGATTTAAACTATACAATAAATTTGTAAATGCACTAATGTTATTTGAATCTGTTTTATTTCCCAGGTCAATATTAAAGTCTCCACACAAAAAAATGCTTTTTAAAACTCTTGTCCAATAGTTGTACAATTTTATCAGTGAATTTCTCTATATTTGATCCTGGAGATCGATATACACAACTTATCAATATGTTTTTATCATTCTTGTTTATTATCTCTATTGTTATTATTTCCATGATATTATCAACAATTATTGACATTTCATTAATTAATTTACATTTTATTTAATTTTTACCAAATAGAGCCACTCCACCACCCCTTTTATTGCTTCTGTTCACATGATAGATTAGAATGATTTGTTCAATTAGATAAATGGACAGTAAATGGACTGTACTTATATAGCGCCTTTCTATCTTATCGAGATACTCAAAGTGCTGTACACAACAATCTGTGTCCTCAATTTCCCATTCATACAGCACTCTACTAGATCTCTACAAAGCTAATTTAACAAATCATTCTAAAGAGACTAATCAGAGCTTTAGATCACATTCATACACTGACGGGACACACATCAGAGGCAGTGAGGGGTTCAGTGTCTTGCCCAGGGACACTTCGGCATGTGACTGCTGTTGGATTCAAACCCCCAACTCTCTCCTTGGAGGATGCCACAGCCGCCCCTTAGATTTGAAGAGATCTAGTAGAGTGCTGTATGAATGGGTAAATGAGGCACAGACTGTAGTGTAAAGCATTTTGAATATCTTGATTAGATAGAAAGGTGCTATATAAGTACAATCCATTTACTATTTAATGAGCTTCCTGCCACCAATAACATTTAACTTTGTCACACCCGGGCACTCACATAGCTACCCAGTACACCTCTCTCTTGGAGATTGGGTCCTTAAGACACACACAGAACAAGTGAAAACCACAGGTCTTCATGACAACTACCTCCCATGGTTACTTTACTGAATGGCCCAACACAAACTATCCATCCATCCATCCATTTTCTTTACCCGTTTATTCCATTTTGGGTCACGGGGGTCGCTGGTGCCCATGTCCAGCAATCACTGTGAAAGGGGCGGGGTACACCCTGGACGGATCGCAAGTCCATCACAGGGCCACATAGAGACAAACGAGACAAACAACCATTCACTCTCTCACTCACACCTAGGGACAATTTAGAGTTACCAATCAGCCTAACATGCATGTTTTTGGACTGTGGGAGGAAACCGGAGCACCCGGAGAAAACCCACGCATGCACGGAGAGAACATGCAAACTCCACCCAGAAAGGCCCCTGGACCGGGGTTTGAACCAAGGACCTTCTCGCTGAGAGGCAGCAGCTCTACCAGTTGCGCCACCGTGCTGCCCTAACACAAACTAACACATAATAAACATAAACTATGATAACAAGAACATACTAATCACTAAAAAAACAATGCTAAACTGATAACTGAAATTATTAACAATGAACATAAATTTTACCCATAATCCAACATTTTTCAGTCAGGTCATCTGGACATTTTTTTTTGGGTTTTTTTTGTGCTGAATAAAAAAAAAAAAAAAACTGATTTGTTTGGAGTAAGCTGTTGGGGGAAGAATCAGTTTTGTTGTGTGTTTCCTTGACTGATGAAGCCTTCCGGATCAAAGGCGAAACGTTTCAGCACAAAAAAAAAAGAAACTGTCCAGATGACCAGACTGAAAAATGTTGGACTGTATACCTGGATTATTGAGCATGGACTTGTTGTTTACCCATAATCCCTCTCTGAGGCCATGTGACCAGCAGTCAACCACAAAGAACCAATGAGGTAATCTCATTGAGTCACAAGGACTAACCCCCAAGAGAGAACTATATTGATGAGACTACCTGTTTAAATAAAGGTTAAAAAAAATCTGATCAACGAAATTACAGAACAGGTCACAGTGGACCAATGAAACGGGGAGAGGAAGAGAAAACAGGAGTGGGGATTCCCCTGCATGAGCACAGCATTTGAGTCTCACATGCTCACAGAGCAATTTTGCTCTGCGGAGCAGGACAGCTTGCAGTAGGAGGAAGATAGCAATAAATGACTTCCTATTCCTTACTTACCAGCCGTGTTGCAGGGACTGCTCAGGAAAAAAAAAACATTTACTGAACATATTTGTGTATGTTACCCGTACATATTGTAGCATTTTGATGTGGTTGACTGCTGGTCACATGGCCTCAGGGAGGGATTATGGGTAAAATTTATGTTAATTGTTAATCATTTCAGTTAGCTGTTTATCATTGTTCTTTTAGTGATTAGTCTGTTCTTGTTATCCTAGTTTATGTGTTTATTACGTGTTAGTTTGTGTTAGGTCATTCAGCAGAGTAACCATGTGTGAGGGAGGTAGTTGTCATGAAGACCTGTGGGGTTCACTCTGTCTGTGTTGAACAGTAAGATAAAAGTCTATAAAACATCATCTGGTGGTTGATTCTTGATCAACAACAAGAGCTGCACATCTCAGTAGCTGCATGCTGGCACTCATGTTACAATGTGAACACCCAAGGCTTATACACAAGAGTGGCTTATATATGTACAATTTGTTTGTGTGTGTGCGAAGCTTAAATAAGTGTGCACTCTATAGATCAGCAATTACGGTACATAACAACCTGTTCTTTGATTAATCTTTCTGTGCACAAGTGAAATCCCTCTACTGTCGTAACTGTTGAGCTAATTCCACAAAACTCAACGAGACTATCCTGTCTTTAAAAATGGCAACATCTATTCTTGGTTTTGACCATGTCAGCTGCTGCTCACCTGCTTGAGTTCGGGGCTTGCAGGTCAATAATGTGCACCTCTCTGTTTTTCTCAGGCAGAGACAGGACACAGCCCTTCGATGATTGTGGCAACAGGTAGCTGCCCAGGTAATTCAATGACAAAAACTTGGTGTCAATCTGGCAAGTGTTCGAAAATAAGGAATCTGAAAACAGAGGAAAGTTTGTGTTACCAGACAGAAAACTTGTGGATTCATTTTGATCCAGCAAATGAGAAGTACAGCTTGCTGAACTGATTTACCACGATGACATCAGCGTTTGAGGTCAGCTTCAGAACAGTACACTCTGCTTTGGAAAGGAATAAGGTCTGCTCACAAAGAACCCAGTATTAGGATTTTTTTTTTTTTTTTTTTTTGAGCTGACGTGGCTTCAGAGGAACACTTTTCGTGTATCTCAAATACTGGAATTCCAGTTATTTTACCTCTGAACACAGAATTAACAAGGTCCTGACCTGCACTGATGAGCTGGGTGAGCTCTGATTAGCAGGACATACAGACATGTACATTGTCTGTATGGTACAAACTTCTTTAAAAAGTCTTCAGCTGATCCAAAATGCTGCTGCCAGAGTTTTAAGGAGAGTTGATAGGAGAAATCATATCTCTCCAGTTTTAGTTTCTCTCCATTGGCTCCCTGTCAAGTCCAGAATAAAATTCAAAATCTTACTTCTAACCTACAAACCTCTCAACAACCTAGCTCCATCTTATATTAGAGCTTATTGTTCCATATTTTCCTAACAGAGCACTTCGCTCTCAGACTGCAGGTTTATTTGTGGTTCTTAGAGTTTCCAAAAGCAGAATGGGAGGCAGATCTTTAAGTTATCAGGCTCTTCTCTTGTGCACCCAACTTCCAGTTTATGTCTGTGAGGCTGACACATTGTCCAGTTTTATAATTAGGCTTAAGACTTTACTTTTTGATAAATCCTATAGTTTGGATTGGCTTGGGTTTCCAGAGCTATCACTTAGTTAGGCTTTGACCATTACTTACTCTGTTTTATATTTGTAATAATTTTTTCTATCCTTGACATGTGTTTTTGTCTTTCAGGTACACCTGCACCTACACCTGGACCTGCCATTCTGTGTTTGTCTGTTTCTCCTTCCTGTCCTCTCAAACCCAGCCGGTCGAAGCAGATGGCCGCTCATCCTGAACCTGGTTCTGATGGAGGTTTTTTCCTATTAAAAGGGAGTTTTTTCCTTTTCACTGTCTCCTTTGTGCTTGCTCAGGATGGGAGACTGTGATGAAGTGACGATTCAACACAATCTGCTGCTTCCTTAGATAGAGAACTTTACTAACTTGCTCTTGGATGTACAAATGTGAATGCTCCTGTAAAGTGCCCTGAGACAACTTTGTTCCGATTTGGCGCTACATAAATAAACTGAATTGAATTGAATTTGTTTATACTCTTGTTAAAGAAAGAAAACCCACAATGGTCACTAAACAACTTTAAACTGAAAAGTAACAATAAGACTAAAAATAATGAAAATAAACTAATACATATCCGTCATTGCTTTTAAATTTTGGTTCACTAAATTTAAGTTTAAATTTTAAACATGACAGCAATCAAGTAATTTCTACATCTTTTTCAGAGACTTCTGCACATGTCCACAGTTGTTATCAATCAATCAACCTTTATTTATACAGGTAAATCCCATTGAGCCTCGAGGACTCATTTACATGCTATGGTCTACTATGCTTCAAAAAACTGTCCCAGCTGTCTCAGGTTTGAATGGTTCCTTCTCCAGATGTTTCAGCTCCTTCCACAGATATTCAACAAGACTTAGATCATGGCATAAAAAGGCACTTCAGATTCCAGTGTTTGGTTCTAATCCCTTCCTGGGTGTTTTTAGCTGTATTTGGGGTCATTATCCTGTCGGAGGACCTATGAACTGTGTATGAGACCAAGCTTTCTGGCACTGAGAAGCACATTTTGCTCTCGAATGTCTTCAGATTTCATTGCATCCTGCACAGGTTTAAGAAACTGTGTTCCAGATGCAAAACCAGAACAGAACCAAGCCTCCTTCATGTTTCACTGTAGGCCCCATGTCCCCTTCTTTGTAGGTTTCATTTCTGGGTCTGTGAACAAAGAGCCATGGGACTTGTTGCCAAAAAGCTCCAGATGTGTCTTATCTGTCCAAAAGGACATTCTTCCAGAAGCTTTGTCAACATGAATTTAGGCAAACGCTAGTCTCAACGTTTTATGATGCGTTGCCTCCTCGGTTGTCCTCCATCAAGTCCACTTTGGCACAAATGGATAGATGATGTGATCTGACACTGATTTACATCTTGGACTTCATCTCTAATCTCTTTGAAACTTGTTCTGGGACTATCGGTTACATTTTTATTCTCAGTCTTTTCAATTTGTCTTTAAGTTCCTTATTCTGGACATATCCAGGGAGGTTGTCTCCAGTCCTGTGAAGCTTAATATTTGAATAATCTGTGCAGTTGCAGTTAGAGGAATATCGAGCTGTTTGGAGATGACCTAATAGACTTTGCCTTTAACACGATGTCAATAACTTCATTTCTAAGTTCCTGAGACAACTTTGTCCTCAGCTTTTTGTGGTCCATGTTCAGCATGGTACAAACCGTGATGCCGAACAGCCCTGTGACCACCTGTCACCCTTTAAATAGGTAGACTGATAACAAGATTAAAGACATCTGTGACATTAAATACTGGACATACCTTAGATTAATGTGTCATTGTGGTCAATCTGTTCTAGGGGTACCATCATTTTCGTCAAGCCAAGTTTCTATTTTTTACATAATTCTGTTGAACCCCAATTTAAAAGCAGTGACTGATTTTCATTTTGTGGTTTTTAATCAATTTTTCATATTACTTTTGTCAGTTTCAAGTCATTTTAGTGGCCATTCAAGGTTTTTCTTTCTTTAATAAAAAGATACAACCTGTGCATGAGCTCATTTGGAAAGCCAAGCGAGAATGTACCCAGCTTCATAAAACACCACTGACGATGTAAAGCAGTGGAAATTTACAGCTCTTGATTTGAAGCAAACATCCCAGCATTCTGGGGTTTTGCTAGACCACATCCTCTAACCGGCTAAGACGCATGGTGGAAGTCTGAGCAACCGTTCTGCTCACCGCAGATTCAACAAGGAGGAAGGACTGTGAATCAACAGCAGTGATATGGCCAGGATTTCCTGCAGATACTGACTTTGCGAAGGTTATCAGTGAAAGCACAAAGGGATGATAAACTGCAATGTTTGATAAGAAAAAACAGAAAAAGAAACAAGAGTAATGGCACATTATGTATACGCCCAAAGACAAACAGCAATCAGTAGCAATGCAACGGTCAAGCAAAGAACATTTATGACATTCAACCTTGATTTGTGACCTTGAACTTGAAGCTGGGGGATGGAAAAGGGTATGTAACACTTTGTCTAGTAACATTGTAAATGTGTATCAAGTTTTATTAAATTATCTTGTGCAGATTAGAAGTTACAGTCCAGACAAGAGAAAGTTTATGGGCGTACGGATGGAGACTTATGGACAGACTTATGGACGAATGGACCGACAAATGGACGGATGGACAGACAAATGGAAGGATGGACAGACAAATGGACAGATGGACAGACAAATGGACAGATGGACAGACTTATGAACAGATGGACAGACTTATGGACGAATGGACAGACTTGTGAACAAATGGACAGACAAATGGACAGATGGACAGACTTATGAACAGATGGACACTTATGGACAGGTGGACAGACTTGTGGACGAATGGACAGACTTATGAACAAATGGGCAGACAAATGGACAGATGGACAGACTTATGGTCCAGCAATGTGATGCTCAAGTACCCTCTGCTCACTAGTCAGCCTTACGCTGCCAACGCGTATAGCAGAGAGCCAGACGAGCCCTCCTGGAGACCTCCGCAGCCTACATTAAAGGGGCTAACTGGCGGAGGTCTCAACAACCCACGTATCAGGAGGGCCAGAAGGTATGGCTCTCCACTAGAAATCTCCCATTAAAAGTTGAATCACGCAAACTTGCCCCCCCGTTTTATTGGACCTTTCCCCATATCAAAAGTCATTAACCCAGTTTCTGTCCGTTTATCTCTACCCAAATCCATGAGAATCCACCCATCATTTCACGTTTCCAAAATCAAGCCCTTTTTGCCCTCCCGTGTTCACCTTGCCCCAGAAACCCCCGCACCCGTCCGGCTCATTGATGGGGCACCTGCCTACACTGTGTGCCGACTCCTCCGCTCCAGGAGATGGAGCCGAGGAGTCCATTATCTGGTCGACTGGGAGGGATATGGCCCAGAAGAACATTCTTGGGTCCCCTCCTGTCACATCATCAACAAGTCCCTCATCAGAGACTTCCATCGCCTTCACCCGGACCAACCTCGGGGCACGTCAGGTGCTGCGCCTTAAGGGAGGGATCTATCACAGTTTACACTCTGTTTTTTCCTTTTACTCATCACTCTGTTCACTGTTTGACCTTTTCTTCTTTGCTCTCCTGGGGTTTTTCCTCTGCTGTTTCTGCCAGCCTCTTTACATGCCACACCCCTCTCTCTCTCTGATTGCTGCTGATGGTTTCCACCTGTTTCTGGGTGTATATATACTTCCTGCATTCTCCACTATGTTGCCAGATCAACTGCTTGTTTCCAGCCAGTTATCCAGCGTACTCTCCTTGTTCACAGCTCTTTAATCTTGATCCATGCCTGTTTCCTTCGACCATGCTTTTTGACTGTCCCATTTGTGCCTCAGCCTTTTGACCTCGTTGACGACCTACGCCTGTTTTTGGATTCCGCGTTTACCTCTCCCTATCAGTACTGTCACCTCTTCAGATCCCGTGTATGAACCCTGCTCACCCTCGACTACGCCTCTGGACTTCCCTTGGTCTCTGTAGCTCTGTGTCTCTGCTGGAGCGTCCCGTTACAACAAGAAAGGTTAGTGTTTCATCAGACCGTCTGTATTCAGATAAATACTTGTTATTCTGCCAAACACTAACCTTTCCCCTCCGTATCATTTTAGATACAGTTTTTGCCCCTGGACCTGAGACACCAGAAGCTGTTTATTTACTCAATAAACATTTTAACAACCTTTTTGAGTTTGTGTGTAGGATCCTCTGCCATCAGATCTCTGACATATTCTAAACAATGTTTCTAAACTCTAAACGCTCTAAAAGAGAACAGA